GTCATATTTTCATTTTTTTCTTCAAGAGTTCCAGGTGTAGAAGGAAGTGTTTCATTCTCTTTCTTTTTCTTCCTGGTTCGATTTTTGTAGCCGAGTAGCCCTAACTTCTCATTAATATTAGCATTAATTTGAATACTATCATCATATAGCTCTATAATCAGACGTCCATCTGGATCTTTTGCTACAACCAAGGCCTTCAATGACTTATCTAGAACAGTCTCCTGAAACCATGTTGTAACTTCTTCTGGTATATTACTGGGAATATCAGACAATGAGCATTTAACAGCTTGCATGGGCAAAAGTAAAACATCATAGGCATCACGAGGTATTGAGAGCAGATTGTCACTTGTTATGTAAATATTCCCAAAGTCAACAAAGAAGACTTTAGTTGGCTCTTTTTCTATTACTATCCCTCTGTACCAGTTTCCATCAGTGTACTTGGCAAGGCACAAGGTTCCAGGGATCAAGGGAGATGTTTTTAAATTCAGCAAAATTTTACTTAACTGTGTAATACTACATGACAACTGTTCTAAAATATTTGCATTTCTTGCCAGCTGGCAATAAAATGTCCAGGGGTCATCAACATGTGTTATATACACTGAATCCTCACTTCCAATTTTCATATCATGTGTAGAATAGTAGTAGGAATGTAGCTTAACAGAGGACTCCAGAGGCTTCTGAAGTTTTACTGGTCTTGCTAGTCTCTTTTCTACCAAAAAATGACATGCACTCTGAAAGGGTGTTAGCAAATCCACAACATTAAACAGTTCTTCATCATGTATTGAGGCCAAAGCAAATATTGTGCATTTTAATTCTAAATTGTTTTGCCATGCACTGTCTACAAATTCACTAAAAGCTTGTATTGCCTTTTCATCCCAAACAAAGGGATTTTCACCAGATGGTTGAATTAAATTATAAAGACTGCACCTAAAAGCCTGAGCTTTAACCTTGAGAAACTCATCACTAATTGAATAAAGATTCTTCACAGAAATAGTATCTTTGTCTCCATAATCTACAAATATTACTTTGACGTGCTCTGAAGATTGGGTCCCACTAATCAGAGCTCTGGACCATTTACCACTTGCTGTTCGCTTTGCCAAACAAGCAGGTGTGGTTCCCTGGTGAAGAGTCATGGTATTTTTGCAGTAGTCCTCAATATCACACATTAAAGTTCTAAGGCCTTGAGTGTTCCTGGTCAGTTGACACCAGAAATAGCCAGGGTTTTCAACATAAGACACTTTGACTTCTACTGTACTTCCAACTTCCAGCTCTTCTTTATAAGAAGAGCCTGGTTTAATTTTCAAGAAATTTGGCGTCAGGGGAGAATAAACAGGGGCTTTTTTCTCTTTTTCCTGTTCCGCTTGTCCAGCTGAGATATTTGTAACAATTGTTTTATCAGTTAAAGCTTCTGAAACAGAGATGGTTTTTTCTTTCTCAGCTTTCTGTTCTTCTACCTTCTTGGCAGACGATATTTTGTTTTCAGCAATAAAATGATTTGAAGCATGCCCTGGGGAGTGAGCATTTACTACAATATTTTCTTTTGTTTCAAATTCCTGATACTTGGCATATCCAGCTTGAGCAATTACCTTACTAATGTTTTCTTCCCCTGCTCTAGATTCATCAAGAATCTCTATAACATATTGATGATCCTGCTTATCAAGGATATGGATAACCAATTCTTTGTGGAGTACAGTCTTTTTAAAAAAGGAAATTGCTTCTTGGCTCCAGGTTTTCCCCAAAGGCCAGATATCGGCAAGGGTGCATCTTAGAGCCAAGGCTGGTAGCCGCCTAAACTGAGGAAGCAGCATCCTTACATCATACCAGTCCACATTTTCTGAATTGCCTCGGTCAACTAGGAATACATCCACACTCTTGTCATCTAATTTGGTGACCATGGCCCGATAGTAGCCATTTTCTTTCCATTTAACACAGCAAAGGTCATCAGGTTCAGGTTTCAAAACCACACCATCCAGCTTACTGGCAGAAGAATAGAAACTGCACATTCTTCTCATAAGCTTGCTGAAGGTGCCATTGTGTTTCCTCAACCTAATCCAAAACTCAGAGGGACTCTTAACAAACTCTACCTGGGCATCATAGAAGGCATTCATCTTCAACTTGATAGATCTTAAGGCTGGGAGTGAAACCTCTTCATCTACTTCTTCTGCCGGGGACTGAGACTGTAGCGCTGGGTCTGGTTCTTCTCCCTCCTCTTCCTCCTCTGTTCCTTGGCTCTGAAGGAATCTGTCAGCCAGGCAACATGACTGTACTCCAAATACACCGTTAAGATTAATCCCATCTTCTCCATACAGGGTGACATAATACACATGCTCAAAGGAACAATAAAATTCAATCTTTGCATTCACTGCTTGGCCCAGTATCAGCGCCTTCAGGTCACCGACTTGTGACCGAGACCAGCCTCTTCCACCGTCCCAGAGTCCATACAAGGCACAAGGGTAGGTCACCACAGGCATTCGAAAATATTCAGGCAGCAAGTACCGAAGGCTACTACAACTCACTAATTCCTTTCTTCCATAGTCTACATGAAGCACCTGGGCACAGCGATGTGGTCGAAAAGTCTCAAGCAAGAGCGCCCTGTACCAATGTCCATCCAATCCACAGGATGCACATGGAGAGCCTGGCTTATCTGGGCTCTCCTCCCTCTCCTCCCAGGTAGTACTGGTAGAGTTCTCATCCCCTGTCCCCAGGGAACCCCGGTATACCTGGGCCATGCTCTCAGAGAGGCGGTGAATCTCCTGCGATAGGCTCCGGAGTTGGCAATGAATGCGGTGGGGATGACATACTTGGGTGACCACTACAGGCTCTGTCACGCCCAGCTGCAGCTGGGGATAGAAGTAATCCAGGCCAGGCTGCTCTTGCTTGGGCAGGACTCGCGGAAGAACCGGGGTCCCGGGGCCCACGCCTGCAGTCGTCAGGTAGCGCTTGAGCAGGGAGCGGAAGAGACTGTCTGGCACCTGCCGCGCCAGGTTGAGCTCCTGCATCTGCTGGAACACAGCCGGGACCTCCAGAAGGACCAGGCGATGTTGGAGCAGCACGTCCAGCACCCGTCCCTGCGCCTCCTTGCCCTGCAGGTTGCTAAGGAAGTCCACGGCACTGGACGACCAGTGCTGCGGCTCGCCCCCGCCGGTGCCGCCGCCGCCCGCCGGCACTAAGCCGGCCAGCACGCAGCCCAGCACCTCTGAGGGCAGGTGGAAGAACTCGCTACGCCCGGGCGCCAGCGAACCCGCGCCGGCCGTGATGGTGCGGCCTTCATCCAGCAGAAAGACGCGGCTTTCCTGCGCCTGGCGGCTGACCACGCGGCAGCGGTGCCACAGGAGTCCCACCTGCACCAGGCACAGCTCGCCGGGCGAGGCTGTGGCGCCGCCCAGCGCCCACGGGCCGCGCGTGGCTGCAGCTTCCTGGATCTCCCGGCTCAACCGCACGTACTCTTCCCGCCGCTGGCCCACCAGTCCCCATAGCTGCACCGGGATCACCTCGGGATGCACATCTACGAAGGACACCCGCAGGGTCAGCGAGGCCCCGGGCGTCGGCAGCCCGGGCGTCGAGTTCATCTCTGCCACGCAGCCAGCGCTCCGCTGCGCCGCGGGAAGGAGAGACCCACCAAACCAGGCTCAAAGAACCTAAAGAATGGGAAAGACGCCGGGCGAGGCGCCCTTTGGGCGACGCGCCAGACGCAGGGCCTCAGGAACTCTTGCGGACAGGTAAAACTCGCCGGCTGCCGGACCAACCGCCCACGGTTGCCGCGCAGGCATTTGCAGCGCGTGGCGGCGCCCGGCTTCCGGCCGCGGGGAGTGGTCGCCACCGAAACGCAACCTGGGGGCCGGGGCCAAGGAGAGGGGGCTTCGAGGGTCGTTCAGGAGGCCGAGATGTGAGGGTTAGAACACAGTCCGCCTCTCCTCAGAGCACCTTCGACTCTGGAGGACTCTGTGGCACAGGGCACAGGGCGGTGTTGAGGGCTGGACCAGAAAGTTAATTTCCTGTGTGTTCTTTCAACCACTATTGGTTGAGCACTGCGTGCCAAGTACGGTGCGGTGCTAGCCATTGGAGTTCCCGAAGGGAAAGGGGAACTAGAAATGGAGGCGCCAACGGCACGTTCCTGAGCGTTGAGACCCGAATTTTCAGAGGACCCTCCCCCCCCCCCCCCCCCCCCCCGAACTGGCAAGCTGAGGAAGAGCAGTGCGCTTGCGCTGGGAGGGAGCTCCGGTGCTTTTGCTTGCTCAGAGTATTAGTTGCCCTCAAGCAGGTTGCCAGTTCTTCAGTGTATGAACTCGTCTCATCATCTGAATTGATAAAAGTTGTTAGGAGCTCACAATAAAGTATGAAGCCATATCGGGACTGTTCAGTATGCCCTTCTCCACACCGGCCTGGTAAGGGTTCCTTTGGGAAGTGCCATCCCAATTTTTAAGGCCTTCTTCGCGTATTCAGAGATAGCACAAAACTGGACTCAAAAGAGCAAAAAGAACTGAAACATTACTTCAAACTGCCTCTGTGACTGCTGTAGCATCAGCAGCATCCCCGCCACCCGAATCTGACCAGGACAACCCTTTGAGATCCCCCTTTTGTCAAGGGGAAGCAGGTGGAGTGGAAAATTCAGGCAAATTATGGGAAGTTTCATGATATGTCCACAGTGTATTTTTGTGCATTTGCAAAGTTAGACATGTATCTCCGGGAGCTTCTCATTTCACTCAAAATTTTGAAATATTAAATACACAATAAGACAGTGCTAAATATGATGCTAACCTAATAATGTAAATTTGTGTCTTCAGTCTACCCAGATTAGATTGAATCCAGGTGCTTCCAGATCACCCTGTGCTTACTTTTTCATGACACTTTTCACATTGTGTTGTGATTGATATCATCTACCAACCTAAAGGCTCCTTGGGCAAGGATTCTGCTTTATTATTGGAATCTGCATGAGGTGGAGGCAATATACATAATTTACTAAAATGAATGAATGAATTTGAGCTTTCTAAAAGATTTGTTTTTTTCCTGATTAGCTCAGCCTTAAAAATTTAATTCCATTTCTAAATTTTCTCTAATTGTTTTATACTCAACATGAAAGCTATCATTTGATTTAAAAATATCTAGCCAGATAGAACTCAGAGGCCTCTTTCTTATGCCCTTCCTATTCACCAAGGCAGAATTAATTGTGCCCTTCTACCTAGTCCCATATTACCTATTATATTTTGCAACTGTTTGCTATTTCTCTTTTTTTATGTGACTTAATTTATTTTTCCTCACCATAACCCCATGGAGTAGGTGCAGTTATATCCCCACTTTGCAGTGGAAGAATCTTGAGTCACAGAAGGATTAAGTAACTTACCCAAAATCCCAGAGAGCTGGGCAGAGTCAGGATTTGAATCCAGACTGGCTGGCACCACAGTCCTTTTTCTTCCTGTGTCCTGCGTCCTTGGTGAAGAATTCATGAAGGAGGAAATGAAAGGTAAGTGACTCACCCCTGACTGAAATTCAACCAAGAGATTTTATGGGGGGCTGGGTGAAGGGGAAGAGAGGAGAGGGAGAGGGCAGAGAGAGTGTGGGTTTGCAAGCTTCAGCTGCTATTTCTCCTATCACAGTATGAACAGCTTGAAAGCAGGGATTCTGCTCATTTCTTTGTACATTCTGAGTGCCTAGCACAGTGCTGGACTGTTATCAGCTAATGAATGCTTAACAAAAGAATAAGAAATTTGGCACCATGTCCTTTATAGTGGAAGGGCGGATTCATTAAAAAAATGGTCTTATTATGGAAATTGTTTTATCATCATCACATGGAATAATGGAGATTTCAGCTATAAGCAGTATAACCAAACTCAAATAGATCACAGGGTTGTATATACTGTAAGTGACTTTTCTTTTCCTTTTAATTTGTCCTCCAACCTCATTCCATGGCCAAGGGCATTATGGATGTCAGGGTGTATCATGCAGCCACCAGGAGCTGATCATAGCCTTCTCCTCCCATCCTCCAGATATTCCCAATGTCCTGCCTTTTCTTTATTTGCAGTAGATAGCTTACTTCTTTCTGTACTGCTCTGCTGCTGAAAAGGGAATGGGGTCATTTCAAAAATCAGACTATTGTATTCTGAAGATTAAGCTCCAATTATATATCCCTCATGCTTCATTAAGCAAAATACTTTGAGTTCTATAAAAAAAATTAAAACTCCCTACTGTTAGGATAGAGAGGCCTTTGGCTTCAGAAAAGCAGAGAGAAAGAGTATTCTTATCCTACTACAAATACTTAAGGTTTATAGATGAAGGAAAAAGCCAGGGATAGAATGTGTCTTAGAGAACTTTGCATACTATAAGCTATTTTAATACTTTTATGAAAACAAGATGTAAGGAAATTGGGCAAACAAATCATATTTATTCTAAGCTATCTTAGACCTCTCTATAAACAAAACACAGCATACTTTAGAATACTATAGTTTCTCCGCCACTAATGAGCCACTTTTAAGGAGGCTTAGAAAATTACTATTTAATGAATATTTTGTAAAGTATAATTATACCCTCTTATGAGAATGAAAATTACTAACTACAGATAGGAAGAAAACATGTACAAATCACATGTTAATCTTGGATTTTTTATCTATAAGACATAAACAACTTTAAAAACCAATATTGAAAACATCAATGTAAAAATGAGCAAAGACAGCTAGTGACATTTCATCAAAGAGGATACAGGGAGAAAGAGAATGAAAACATTTTCACCATCATTATCTATTAGAGAAAAACAAAACCACGGTGATGTATCACTATGTACCAATGATAATGACTAAACTAAAAAAATAGTGTTAATCCCAACAATGATAAGAACATGGAGAAACTAGATCGCTCAAATTGCTAGTAGGAATGTAAGATGGTATGGTGCATTTTAAAAACAAAATGTATACTTGTCATAAGACCTAGCAATTGCACTTGAGCTTTTATTCTAAAGAAAGAAAAACTTATGTTCATGCATCAACCTGTACACAAATGTATATATTCCCAGTAGCCCCCAAACTAGAAACAACCTTATCCTTCATTGGATAAATGTTTTGACAGGATCTTCATACTGTGAAATACTACTCAGCAACAAAAAGGGAAAGAAAGGGACCATCAATATGTGCAACAACTTGAAATGTTCTCTAGGAAATCATGTAGAATGAAAAAAAAATCTCAAATGGTTACATACCATATGATTTTTCTTTTTTAAAAATAACATCCTTAATTAAAGTTTTTGCAAAGGTAAAATAAAATGGCCCTAGCCCGTGAAAATACTAAGTTCTCTAATTGTATTCCAAGATGGTCTTTAAAACATAATATCCCATATGTCACAGAAGAACAAACTTGATCTGCAATTATACAGAATGAATTTTACAAACATAATAAATATATTTATGCCCTTATGTGAAACATTATGTATAATAGTAGTTGACAATAGTAGCTCAAAATAGCAAAAAATTTATCTCCTCCTCCCAAATTATGATTCATCTTCATATAAAATTCTTATATATCTGTTGCCACATCTGAAAAGGTGTGTAAGGATATATAACTTGTGCATGTGAAGATGAGGACCACATGCGTTAATGTAAGTACAGTTGATATGATTGCATTAAATAAATGCTGGAGATGCAATAAAATGAAGCAGCAAAGGGAAGGATTTTAGATTTTGAAAGTCTCTGTTTCTCACATCAAGGCAACATGGACAATGAAATTTTCTCAGTAAGTTTCCTCATCTATAAAAAAAGGAAATTCACTTACTGAATGTCCAAACACAGTAGACATGTAATGAATTATAAGTTATTAGTAATATTGAATAATATTTAAAATTCTTTCTTAATTCTCTCTTAATCATTAAAGTTTCTTAATCATTAAAAAATCGTAGATGCTTAAAATTATTTTATTGAGTATTTACATACTGTAAAACTCATCCTTTTATGGCACACTTGGCTATTTTGACAAATGTATGCAGTTATTTATTTGTATACCTTTTAAATTGATGCATTATAATTATACATAAAAGCGGGATTCATTGTACATAGTCTATGTGAATTTTTATACAATATGAATTTGCATGATGTAAATGCATCAGGTACTAAGTAAAAATGTGTATAGTTGGAAGTATACACTACCACAATTAATAGGTAAAGATTTTCATTATTCTCCTGCCTGTTTGCAGTCTCCACTACCCTCCCTCATGGGGACAATCCTTGCACCTACTCTTCCTAGTCTTTTGCCTTTTCCAACATGTCACATAAATGGAATCATGGGTTGTAGCTGTCTTTGATCACTTAGTATAAGGCCTTTGAGTTCATCCATGTTGTTTATCAGTAGTTGTTTTTTACTGTTGAGGAGCTTCCATGAAAATATCACATTTATTTATTAGAGATAGGACTTTCAGGTTATTTTCAATATTTGGTGATTGTCAATGAAGTTATTGTAAACACTCAGGTATCCTTTGTGTGGACATATGTTTTCATGGGTAAATACTAGGAGTGGGATTACTGGATCATGTGGTAAATAGATGCTTAACTTTGAAAGAAACTTGTCAACGTATTTTCAAAACTGGCCCTGTCATTTTGCATTCCTAACAACATATTAGCTGTTCTGTATTTTCAGCAGCACTAAGTATTGCCTGTCTCTTTAATTTTAGTCTTTCTTGTGTTCTGTGGTTATATCTCACAGTGGTTTTGTTTCCTTAAAGATGCTGACAGTTTTTAATGTGCTTATTTGGTGTCATCTATCTTCTATGATGAAGTGTCTGCCCAAGTCTTTTTCCCACTTTTAAAAGGGCTGTCATCTTACTTTTGAGTTGTAAGAGCTCTTTTATGTTCCAAATACAAGTCAGATATATGCTCTGCACTTATTTCCCTCTCAGTATGTGGCCTGCCTTTTACTTTCTTGTCTTTTTAAGAAAAAAAAAAAGTGTAATTTTGATGAAATCAGATTATTTTTCCTAGGTGGCAGTGTTTTTGTTTCAAGAAAACTTTGTCTAAATATATAAAAATATTTACAGTGTTTTTTTGCTAAAAGTTTTATAATTTTAGAACTCACATTTAGGTCTATGATTACTTTTGAACCAACTTTATATGTGGTGAGATAAGGACTGAGGGTTTTATTTATTTTTATATATGGATATACAATCACTATACTACCATTTGTGTCAAAGACTGTACTTTCCTAATTAAATTATCTTGATGTCTTTGCCAAAAATTAACCATCTGTTTATGGGTCACTTTCTCAGCTCTATATTTCTGTTTCACTGACCTACATGTCTATCTTTATGCCAATGCTACATAGTCTTGATTAGTATCCAAATTGCTTAAAAGCCAATTTTCAAATTTGGGTAATGTGAATCCTTCAACTTTTTTTCCTTCAAATTATATATATATATATATATATATATATATATATATTTGCTATACAAGTTCTTTACTTTTCCATATGTGTGTTTTAGAATATTCTTATTAAATTTCATAGAAAAAAACAAACCCTGCTGAGATTTTATATTTTTATTTTTTTAGTTGTAGTTGGACACATATCTTTATTTATTTTTATGTGGTGGTGAGGATCAAACCTAGTGCCTCACATGTGCAAAGTGGGCTCTCTACCACTGAGCTAGAGCCCCAGCCCCCTGCTGAGATTTCAATGAGGATTGCATTATAGATAAAGATCAACTTTGAATTAACTTCAGAGCAATATTGAGTTTTTAATTTCATGGACAAACTTTCTCCCTCCATTTAAGCCTTCTTTAATTTTTTTTTTAGAAATGTCTTAGAGTTTTCAGTGAATAAATCTTTTTTGTAGACTCATCCTTAAGTTCTTCATGTTTTTGATGCTTTTATAAGTATTATTTTTTAAAATGTTAGTTTGCAATTTTTCTTTGCCAGTATACAGAACTATATTCATTTTTTGTATATGGAAATTATATCAGTGACTTTCCTAAGTTTTGATTATAAACATTTGCAGCTTTTTGTAGAGTCTTGGAATTTTCTATATGTATAACTATAACATCTAGGAATAAAGGCAGCTTTATGTCTTCCTTTCTAAGACGTGTACCTTTTCTTTTTTTTTTCTTTATTTGTAAGGGTTGAGACCTCTAGTACAGGTCTGAATGGAAATGGTAAGAATGGTTATCCTTGCTTTGTTCCTAAGTATGGGGAAAGTCTTTTGCCAGTACGACGTATGCTACCCGTTTGTTTTACTTAGATCCTTTTTATCATGCTGAGAAAAGTTTCCTTCTTTTCCATTTCCGGGGAGAACATTTAAAATGCAAAGAATGAATTTTATCAAATATTTTTCACATTCTATTGACATTTTTCTCTCTCTTTTGATTTGGAAATAGTGATTTTTTTATTAATTTTGAAAATTTTTTAGCTGAAAAGTCATGTAATGTTTATTTTGTTATACAGTTTAAGATATGTTGGGAATAGAATAAAAACAGAGAGAAATGGTTTAAAAGACTGTTTCAACAGTTAATACTCTATTGTAAATTAGATTAGTGGTATTCTAACACTTTTTTTTTTTAATTTGTTCTAATAAGTTACACATGAGAGTAGAATGCATTTTGACACACTGCACACAAATGGAGCACTTCTCATTCCTCTGGTAGTACATGGTGCAGTCACACCAGTGTAATCATACAGGTACATAGGTAATAATGTTTGAAATCTTGAACCAATCTTCTATTTCTAGGGTAAACCTCATTAAGTCATAATGTATTATATTACCCTTTTTATAATGTCAAATTCATTTGCTAATTTTTTTTAACTTCTATGCTCTTGGATTTTTAAAAATTTTCAGGAATTTTATTGTGGTAAAATACAGATAACCTGAAGTGTATCATTTTTAACACTTTTAAATGTAGAATTGTAGGGCATGAAATACATTCATATAGTGCACCCATTACCACTATCCATTTCTAGATCCTTTTCATCATCCCAAACTGAAACTTTGTACTTTGTTTCTCATTCCCTCCTCCTACCCCAGACTTTGGAATCACTATTCTACTTTCTGTCTTTATGAATTTTATTATTCTAAGTACCTCAAGTAAGTAAAATTCTATAATATATGTACATTTTTGCCTGGCTTATTTCACTCAGCATGTTTTTAAGGTTCATCCATTCATAATATATATTTTCTTCCTTTTTAATGTACGTAGCACATTTTATTTTATCTATTTGTTTATGGATATTTGGGTTGTTTCCACCTTTTGGCCATGTGAATGATGCCACTTTAAAAATTGCTGTAGCCAGGTGTGGTGGTGCACACCTATAATCCCAACGACTTGGGAGAATGAAGTAGGAGGATTGAAAGTTCAAATCCAGCCTCAGCAACTTACTGAGAATGTGTGTCTCTCAAAATAAAAAGGGTTGGGGATGTGGTTCAGTGGTTGAGTGCCCCTGGGTTCAATTCCTGGTACCAGAAAAAAAAAAAGCTGTATAACTATCTCTTTGAGTCTGTGCTTTTATCCTTTTGGGTATATTCGGAAGTAGAATTACTGGATCATATGGTGATTATATGTTTAATATTTTCCATACTGTTTTGTGCAGCAGCTATACCATCAGCAATGCACAGGATTCCAATTTCCTCATAATCCCAACAGCAATTATTTTCTATCTATCTGTATTTATTTATATATGATAGCCATCCTAAAGGATGTGAATGGTGTTCATAGAGTTTTGTATTCTATGTTCATAAGAGATATTGGTCTGTAGCTTTCTTTTTAAAAATTGGATGTAAGCATTTTGGATAAATAAGAGAAACAATGAGAAGTCAAAGATGACCCTGAGGTTTCTTGGTGTCTCTTGGGTAAACATTATATTTGAAAGGTCAGAAGAGGAAGGATGGGTTCAAAAAATGTTTATTTAATATTGAGAAATTTGAGCTCACAAGGACTGCAGGCCATCCTGATAGAGATGTATCATTAGCAGTTGAAAAAAACATGACTAAGGTTTGAGAAATGAGTAGGGACCATAAATACAGATTGCCAGCCTAAGGATAGTAGCTGATATCACAGAAACATGTGGCTCTTCCTAAATGAAAGAGTGAAAATTGAGAAGAGGCCCAAGAAAAGAACCTTGAAGAGCCAAAATTTAAGGATTTGGCAGCAAAGAAACAGCCAATAGAGACCAAGAAATAACAAATGAAATTATCATATGAGTGCCAAGAAGGAAACCAAAGTGGGATGTAGTATCAGAAAGGACTAATTCTCTAACATTTAAATTAATTTCAATTTTATTTTACCCTTCTATCTTAGCCAGTAAGCATGCTCATCACTAATTATTAGTTATCTATCCTTTTTAGTGAGAAAGAATAACTGAGTTAATAGGGAGTAATCATAAAGTCAAAATTATGGCTAAAAAGTAGAAGAATTCTTTTGGCATCAAACGCAAAGCCCTAAATTAAACCATTTTCTATTTTAAATGTGAGAAATAAAAGTCAAGATTTTTTAAAAATTGCAAACTTTTTATTAGCATCTTTAACTCAAAACCACACCAAGGAAAAAAACAATCCTTGAAAACAACCAATTAGGCATTTAAAAATAACATTTATTTTTAAAAATCAGGATCACACTATATTTACTCACATATATTCCTGTTTGTTACCAGATATTTTCAGCAAATAGACCTCTTTAAGCATCTTCATCTGCTTTTATCAAACCTTCAAAGTGGCTCCTGCTGCTGTTGACAATCACAGCAGCCTGCTGGGGGCAAAGTATGGGGAAAGAAAAATAATCATGTATTTCTCAAAATTCAGAAATAATGAAACAACTGAGTGGGCGAAATGTGCATATGTATGTTATCAATGAAGGCCAAATACTAGTATAATTTTCATACATACTAAACAATAAAGAATAATATAATCACATTTATTAATCAACTAATAAAATTTTATATTATTTAAATCTATCAAATTCCAGGTTTTGGATTATAGTTACTAAACTGATGTAGGTGATACTTCTTGAAACTATGGCATGTTTAAATACACATGATCTTCTAAAAAAGGAAGCTGAGCATTAAATATGGTAAATAATGAAATCAGAGGCATTACCTGAAATAATAATTCTGCAGGTAGGAGGAATACAAAATATGAATTAAATATGTACGTATAGATGCTTTTCTTTCGACCTCTTACAAAAATTCCTTTTCATTCTACAAATACCTTCTATGTTCATAAGAGATACAGAGATGTATTACTTGGTCATTGCTTTCAAGCGGCTCATTCTGTGTGGGGGAGTTGATGTGTACTGCTATGTAGCAGGGGAAGCAACAGTAGTACAGAGGCTTTGAAGCTGTTGAAGGCTTTCGAAGGAAGCAGCAGGTGATCATTTTAGGTATTAAGAGTTTAACTAGACAATCAAATGAAGATGAATGTGTGGTGGTGTTGGGAGGAAAGTTTAGAGGCACATAATGATCCTGCTTGAGAAGCAGCCAAACATGTCAGGGTAGATGGGTATAGCAAGGCATTTGCAGAGGGTGGTGACTGGTATGCAGTGAAAGATAAAGGCCAGAAGAGGGCAGGAGGTGGGGAGGCTGACATGGGATAGCACTGAGGATTTTAATCTTCATTATAGGTATAGGAAGGAGAAATTGAAGGTAACAATACAGGATGATGTGCCTAGAGCTGTTTTGAAGGAAGACTGTTTCCCCAAGAAAAACAGACTTCAAGGTGAGACAGTCCAGCCATGTAAAAAATCTGTAGTATATTTTAAAGTCTGAACAAAATTTTCCAATCTTAAAATATGAGAAATAAACCGAGGAAAAACAAACACCAGTGAATTTTTAAAACATAATATCAATGTAATGGTCCCCTTTAGGTATAGACTGGTGAGGTTCTAGAGATCAATCATTTCATCTGGTAAAGAAATGGAAATCCAGGGAAGTGAAGGGATTCGATCCTATTTATATTATGTTAGAAGTAAAGTCCAAACTAGGATAGATTTTAGGTTAAGTTCTTCTTCCACATCATCTGTTGTTCAATAATATTGAACAACAATATTATTCTTTATATATATACACATATATAAATGTATATATATGTATATATATACACACACGTACATACATACATACATATGTATGCATATATGTAGTAATCATCTTTAAAGACTTCTGGTTTAATCTGGGATAAGAGGATAATTTATTTCCCCCCCAAATTTTTAATTATCAAGTGTTAAAATTAAGCATTTTTTTCCCAAAGAAGGGCCTGAGAAAAGCATGTGTGACTATATGAATTATAAATATGTTTGAAAACTTGGATGATAACAGGAATTCCAGACTCATAAATACAAATTCTTAAAATAACACAAAGTTAGGTGTTTCATGTTATATGTAAGTGCAACCAATTTTTCCTGAGTTCTTAATATCAAAAAAAAAATGCTACTCCAAAGAATGGAAATCATAGAAAAACAGAACATGTAATCCCTGTCAATAGTGTATAATAACCAAACAGGATTAGAATACCTGAAAAATACATTGTACCTAACTAAGCAAACTTAAGAAATACTATCTCTTTAATTAAATATATATGCTAATTATACAAAGAAGAGAGAAGTCTATATAAACAAAAATAATAAAAATTCTATATAACCAAAAATATAGAACAACTCTATATAACCACACACACACACACACACACACACACACACACACACACACACTTTTCAATGAGGAAAAAAATGTGAAAGCAAAGCAAAGGACTGAAATGTCAAATATCACCAATTACAGAACTAAAGAGAAATAGAGAAGCACCACATAAAGTAGTGTTATAATAAGAAAGGGAAAACTGGAATTGTGAAGCCTATGAATATGTACAGAATATCACAGAAATTGTATTCCTTTTTATTTACTGGGTTATTTTGGAAAGGAACAAGAAGACTCCCAGTTGGCAAAATTAAGGCAAAGTTCCAAGATAATTAAAGAATGATTTCACTAGAGAAGTGTGACCATGATGGGCTGTATGTTAGATATACAGGATTTAGTTAGATTATGGATTAAGATTAAATGTTCAAACCAAAGCATCATGACTCCATTCTAAAATTTGTACTAGAAGAAATTCAGATTCATTTAAAATGTAAAGAGACAAAAAAAAGTAAAAAGAAAACCTGTTTTTGGAAGATGCAACATTGTTGGACTGAGTTGTTGTGAAGATGATATAAGACATTTACTTGGTATCTAATTAGTGCACAATAAGTATCAGATATAATGATCATAATAATTAGAAGATCTGCATTTTTATCCTGGCTCCACTATTAAGTCACTATGAGCATGCACAACTGTACTTCTCTGAGACTCAGTTTCCTAACATGTAAAGGAGATGAACCCAAGGAATCATTTCAGGTTAAAAATTCCAGTTCATGTTGATTCAGATACCAAGGAACTTACTTACGCAATGTTTTAGTCCCAAGCCCCCCAAAGAATAAAACTAAATCCTTTTTTAAAATAATTCAGTTGCAATGTAATTATTTTGATACAGTTTTCACTTAAATCTTATAAATTACAAAACATAAAAAAATCAAAATTTCCCCAAAGTTGTTCAATACAGAACACCAGGGATTTAAGCACATAATATACATTAAGTATATTTGACAAATCAATTACAGATTGGCAAATGCAATGCAAAAATAGAAAACCTAAAGAGGATTTTATGAGATTAAAATACACATTTTGCAACAATAAGCCACTGCATATTATTATATCACATTATTACATATTTTGAAGTGTACTTCCCCCTCTTAAAATGGCAGTGATTATACATTAGTGCAACCACAGAGCACTTGTAAACTTGTTTCTGTTTAACAACATCCAACATCATCCATGTTCATCATAACAAATTCTATTTTGTTAGCTTCAAGGTCTTTCTTGGGCCTGAGTTTTCCTATTTTAACAGTTACAGTCTTTTCCCATAACTTCAGCAATCCATCCAGAACTGTCCACTGTCTAAGGATGGGGGAGCATGTGGGATGCAGATGAATCTGGAGAAATCTTCTACCTTTCTAAAATAAGAAAAGTGATGGGCAGCAGGTACCAGGGTTTGAACTCAGGGGCACTTGACCACTGAACCACATCCCCAGCCCTATTTTGTATTTTATTTAAAGGCAGTGTCTCAGAGAGTTGCTTAGTGCCTTGATATTGCTTAGGCTGGCTTTAAACTCATGATCCTCCTGCCTCAGCCTCCTGAGCCGCTGGGATTACAGGCATGTGCCACTGCATCCGGTAAGAACAGTGATTTGGTTCAAAGACTGGACACATGACTATATGCCATAGACAGTTTATACTTATGACATTTTAGGCAAGAAACTTTGTCAAACTGAGTAAGATTCAGTGTTAGTAGGTTGGGATTTCTTTTTCTTCGTCCTTCCCCTCACTCCCTCCTTCCTTCCCTTAATGTTAGGAAAGCAGGGTAAGAAAGGACACACATCAGAGTTGGCTGACTTCATATCAGTCTTGCTTTTAAAATACCATTGAAAGGCGGATGGTAACAAAGGATGCTTTTTACAAAGGGACCTATGCAGCTGAATTTTAATCAAATCAACTGTGGTTCTTTTATTTATTTATTTTTTAGTTGATGGACACAATACCTTAATTTTATTTATTTTTATGTGGTGCTGAGGATAGAACCCAGGACCTCACATGTGCCAGGAAAACCCTTTGCCATTGAGCTGCCCCTCAACTGTGATTCATTATAACATTCTTGAAATCCAGTGATAAATCCATGTTGAAATGGGACATGTAACAAGGCAAATGCTCTTCTCTTTTCTCATCTCGATTCATTGAGTCTGTGGCTATTAGGGGAAGTTACTAGCAAGTGTAGTGGAATGCTAACCAATGAACAGAGGGCGAAGGATGGGCACTGACAGCAAGCAGCTTTGCTTGACATCCAAACATCATCTTAACTTCACATTTATTTTTTATCCTCTTTGCAAGAAAATGTACATCCATTACCTTCAACAGTAGGGAAGCTCAAGATGTTTTTTCATGAATTTTTACCTCCCTTTAATTTACAATATGTATACAACAACAGAAGAGTGAATTGTGAAACTTCTATTATAAACATTGACACAACAGGTTAAAAGTATTTCTTAAGCACTATGTATATATTCTTCCATATTCCTATTGTCTACTTCAGCTCTGAGATGCTGACTCCCTCTATGCAGTCTCTTCAGTACAAACAGCATCTCAAGGGCCAAACCATCTTGCCCAAGGTGAAAGTCATCAGGGTTCCATTCTTCTTTAGAAAACAGTGTGCTGGGTCTCCTGGGATAGCCTTGTGAGATCCGACCAGATCACTTTTAGACAAAAAGAGGAGTCAAAGAGAACTTGGGTTTCCAAAGGAAAAAAAAGTGCTGTCCCCTATAAATCACAGTCTCTGTGGAGTAAGGTGTCTTCCTAAAGAGGTAGAAATAATAGGGGGTGTGTGTTGCAGATGCCCGTATTTCAATAATACTGAACACTGTATCTTTAAGGGCTTAAAATGGACTGACTCCACTCATCTCTCTGATTTTTTCATAAGTAAGCCAGAACACCAATGACCAAGGCGTCTGAAAGATTAACCAAAGAGGTTAGTGCGTATTTCAAAGCAAATTATAAATATTCTACATATATGCATATACATCTTTGAGTGACAGAGTAATTTTGAATCCATGTAGGCCAAAACCAAATATCTTGTCTTTCATCTTTGTACAGCACTTTATAATTTCAAAAGCATTTTCATGTCTTATTTATCACCTATTTCTCTAGTATATGTATAATATGAAGGAAAAGTCATGATGTCCCCATTTAACAGATGAGGACACTGAGGTTTAACAATCAAATGCCTACTAACATGGTGCAGAACTAGACGGCAAGCTTCTGTTTTCCACTCCCAGGGTTCTTTGAAATAACCTCTTCTGGCAATAGGGCTAGAACTCAGATGCCTGAAGTCTAGGCTGGGCTCCTTTACATATAGTTTGTATATGCAGCATAACAACTAGACTTAAAAACTTGAAGTAAGGAAAATAAAGATTATTCTTTAAGAGATCATATAAACCCCCAAACCTGATGTCTCACAACATGTATATGAACATTCACATTAACTAGGGAAAACAGCTTCTATCTCAGAAAGGTTTGACTTTAACCTGAACAAAGGACTTCTAAAAGGAGACAGGTCAGAAGAAGATATAATAAACACTAGTGTGTAGACATTGAACACCAAAGGAAACCTTAGCTCTAATTCCTGATTGTTTGGTTCTGATCAATACTGACTGGAGAGGAACTCCATCCTACTAGAAGAGAGAGAGAGAAACTTAGGCAATTAGAATACAAATGAATTTGGTTAGGGAGTTTGTAAAGCTGTCATGTGTACTTGTCATGTGTTCAGAAATACCGAACATGTTTCATTGGTAACCTGAGAATTTACTAAATAGTGGATCTAGAAGAACACATTTTAGTTAATGTATGAAGACATAAAATAAATAACGATTATAAAGCTGTAAAGATACCATATTCTTGGGAAAACCGAAGTGAAGTGAACCAAAGATCTAACTGTAGTCAGATCAAGGAGGGTGTGCACTTAGTTTAAAGAATGAACCATGCAATCACTCCTAATTGCTGTGGTGATTGGATTTCTTCTTCATGTTAAAGACAACATTATATTATCAAAATCATACTCAAACAAGATCATACCACCTCTACCTAGTGGAAGGGGTTGGAGAGAGCTTAGCTGGGTTTTGTATCCAGTTTAAAGAGGGAGATTAGATAGCCCAAGAATGTGGTAGGTAAAAAATGAGTGAGGTTTTCCTGAGTCTCTGCACAGGAGTGCATGCGGACACTGTTTACTTATTGATTTCCTCGATGGCATAATTATGATCACTGTAAATAATTTAAATGTAGGCGAACCTATGCTGTTTCCTCTAGTCTGCCTTTTGCACAACTACTGGAAAAAAAAAGCAGAATGCTTTGCCATGCCTGTTATTGTGCAGCTGGACACAGAAGAGCTCTCTTGAGTTGATATTCTGAAATATTAAGTCTATAAATAGGCTCTTCCTGTGGTGATTCTGTGGTAAGCCAGCAACCTTCTAATTATAACTTGGGCCACCATATAGCCTGAATTCCGGAGGAAGCCTGCTGGCCTGAGGTCATCAACACCTGGATGACTTGCTCTATGTGTAGTGCACTGAATATTCCAAGTGCTCTGGTCTAATTACCACTTTCAATGAGTTCAGCTAGGTGAGTCTGTATTGTCAAGACCAATTTACTTGGAAGTGTTCATGAGTCAGGCTTCTGAGCTCAGACTCGTGCACTGTGAAAAATCAGCATGCAATGGTACCCTGGTGATCTTTGCTGGTTAGCCATCCTTTCTTTGCTAATGCCTCTCCATCACTACATATTATTTCTATTGTGTTAGAATTTCTGTAAACTAACTGTAGGGTCTTGATCAACTCAGTTAACTGTATTAGTAAGAAGCAGGAGGTTTTGAATTGAACAGATCTTCCAACAGTGTAGCTCTGCCATGTACTAGCTGTATGAATTTCAGTAAGTTTCTTACACATTTAGCCATTGTTTTCTTATCTGAAAAATGAGGATAACACTACCTGCTTTACTGGGTTCCTAAAAATAGAGTCTAACAATAATTAATGTATACAAAGAGCTTTGAACATATTTAATACTCTTTTTTGTCATCTATATTTCCTAAATCTCACATATAAAGAGAATGTATCACATTAAATGTACTTGTAAAATCTTCCTGCCCCTCATCCTGACTGATCCTAACTTAATATTTTGGCAATGTATCACCTGAACTAGAAACATAAAAATCCCATTTTGTTTATTCTGCCCCTTGCCTTCCACATATAATCAGTTATAAAGCCCTATGGCATTAACCATAAGTGTCCTTAGAATGTTTTCCTTACAGTGATTTCTTGGTTAGACACTATCAAAACTTTCTTATGCCCCAGTTTTCCATATGTCATCTCTACTACGTTCACAGTAATCTTAGTGTGTTGTTCCTATGATTACACAGGTGCTTGCTGACTACAGGATCACCCCTTGACCACTAAGCTTGGCCTTCAAGGTCTTTTCCATCTGGGTCCTTAGGGAGGTCTTCAGCCTCATCTCCTGCTACCTCCCACTGAAGACCTTGTCTCCAGACACGCTGAATTGCTGACAGTTCTTCACACTCACCGGGCACACACATAACATGGTGCCTAGGTTCACATTGCTTCCTCCTATTTCTCTTGACCAATATGTACTGAGGCTTCAAAAACAGCTCTGCGTAGACTTTTGTTAGTTTCAGATTAGGTTATAGCCATTTCTATTATATATGCCATGTTCCCACAGGGTTCATACCACTGATAGGTACTAATGCAACCTCTGATGCTACCTCCTCCAGAATCAGGCTGCCTGGATTTGACACTGGATTTGTCAGTGGTAAGAATATTAGTTAACAACCATCTTAGCCTTGCCAAGTTATTCAAACTACATTTTTATGTCCTCCTCTATAAAAGGGGAACAGGAGACCGACCAACTTACTGCAGAAATTGTGGGGCAAATTCAATAAGTTAAGTCATAAAAATAACTACCACAGTTTTCATCATATACCAAGTGTTTCTGTGATATGTATTTAGAAATATATATTATTTCTAGGATTTTAACTACTTACTTAACTTCTAAGTTTTGTTATAAGCACCTCTAGCACAAAGATTCTTACTCTAATACATTTTTTAAATTTTTTTGGTTTTTTTTTTCTAGTGCATTTTGTATCAGATATTGCTTTGAGCTATTATTTTGGTTATTAATTCCGTGTTAATAAACATCTACTGTCCCTTAATAATCATTTATTCCCAGAGCTTCAGTTACCATCTATATGTTGGCTGTGCCCAAATCTAAATCTTCATCCCCAATTCTCTCGTAAGATCCAGATCTATATATTAAATTATTCATCTAGACCTTTCCACTCAAATGTGCTATCTGTTTCCAAACCTCCAAGATCTAAAACTAAACTCGTTTTACTCCCAAATTGTTTTCCTTGAAAATAATCCCCATTTGGAAATATTGATTGCTCAGGGCCTGACTTTTCTTATCTTCTCCATTCCCCTATCCTCATCCCGTTGGTCACATTTCTACTTCCTAAATTCCACTTTATAACGCATCTTCTATCCCATTACCAACACTCATCTAAGCCACTATTATCCTCATTTATCACTACTCTAGACTTTTCTCAGCTCAAGAAAGCTAGAAGAATCTTTCTAAAAATGCAGATTTAATCAAGCCAATGGCCACCACTGAAGGGTTCAAGTGGCCCTCCTGAATCAAGCCTTTCACTCTCTGCCTGGGGGCCCTGTGCCTTGGCCTGCTGGGCTTCCTTGTACTCCTCACGCTGTCTTGTCTACTCCAACTATGGCTCTCTACAGAGTGCTCCTTTCTTTCCCTTTTACCTGGCCAAGTTGTACTCATTACTCCAATATCAGTTCCAAAGCCTTCTAAGAACCAGAGGGTTTTTCTTAACTTTTCAGAGTAGGCCATACTTGTTTGTTACACATTTCTATAGCACAAGAGCTCTTCCTGTAACACTCATCACTTCCAGTTTCTTATTTAAGGCTAAGCCCTTAGTACAGGGCTTTGCATGAAGTAGGTGTTCAATTAAATATGTATACACATGTACATATATGCTATATATAATTATTAGTTTTGATTATTTAACTTTCTAAATCCATAATTCATCCATTCTTTCAAATATTTTCTATCTTTCAAAAGTCATGAGTACCTTATGTTGTATTTATATTACTTAAACAAATCTAATCCTACATCTTAATTCACTTTAAAATATAAAATATATTATAAAAATATATAAATATATATATGTATAAAAATAACATTTAAACCAAATAAGGATGACATAATGGTTTCTCATGGAGCAGAATTTTTAAGGTAATCAGCAGATGTAACATTTGCCATCAAAGTAACAAATTTTGTTTGAAACTGCAAACTTCTCATAGGAAAGATCCCTACTGAAATCAGTATACTTGTCCCAATCTACTGTATTTTAGCTAAATAGACTACTAAAGATCCTATATTACCAAAAATCTATCCACTGATTTTATAACAGATTACCAATCTATTTGTTAATAGAGGTAACTAATTTAATCTACCAAGAAAGGCAATGTGACTCTGAGGAGAGGTGAAAGAAAACTGAACAAGATTTCAAACAGAAAGGATGGCTCTTCATTTGGGGGCAGGGCCATGCCACAAACCAGAAGAGAAAAGGGAAAATGTTTATAGATTTAAATATAAAGAAAAGAAAAAGGAAGGAAGAAATAAAATGTCCAACTTTACCATTCGTAGCCAAGCCGGTAAAAAGCCTTTATATAGACTCATGAATCCTTCTCCTTGAACAGCCTGAATCAGGCAATCGCTTGATGATTTATACAAAAGTCCCCTAAAAAGGGAACAAAAGCCTGTTAAATTTCCTCAGTATAAACAGACACATAAGTAAAATTGTCTAAAAGAATATTATAAGTTAAATATTTTCTGCTCATCTTTAACAAATAATATTTGTGGTCTTAAAGATATAGATAGCTTCATTGAGCTTAAAGAAATTTTAAAGGCTGACTTCTGATTCATCCACTCTTGATTCTTATACTTAGAATTCACTTCATCTGATTTCTTCCAGAGAGGAGGGACTATTTCATATTGACTCAAATTCTCCATGTTACCTGAAAGTGAAAGGCTTCTGAAGAAAGTGCTGTGTAAATGCTCAGCAGAGAATGCTTTCAAAAAACTCTTTGAGACCCAGAATAGCAAAAGCAATTCTAAGCAGGAAGTGTGAATCTGGAGGTATAGCGATACCAGAGCTCAAACTGTACTACAAAGCAATAGTAA